TGAGATAACGATAGTGCCACGGTAGTACGAACTGTGCCGAACTCTAGTATATAATATTATGATTATAATGTAATGAATAGATGAAGATTAAAAAGACATAATTGGAATATATAGTTTGCCATCCGCCGCCCAAACTTTTTTCTCTTTTTGGCCAACCACCTTTTCTTCTCGACTCAGTTCCATTTTTCCTACTTTTCCTCTTCTCCCTTTTTCTCCCCCCTTACACGATGTCGAGCCTTTTCCCCCTCATTTTTATCATTGTTTTAAAAATAAATAAATGTTTTCGGGATTGTAGTTTAATTTTATCAATAGTGGTTTAGGCGGACAATAGTGGTTTAGGCGGAACACTCGCTACATAATGGAGGTCCTACCCAACGACTCGTGTAAGAAAATATAAATAAATTTATTAAAAATATATAAAAATGATTTAAAATAAAATTTTAGTTGAAAATTAAAAATAAATAGAGAGCGAGCGGGATCTGGACCCATATCTTGATTTTTTCGGGATCCAAAGTCACGTGAAAAGTAATTTTCAGAACCACCCGATTTTCCCTGACGCAGGGTCAAGAATCTGGTCAAGGTCCTCACATAAGTTAAGTGTAAGTTTTTTTTGAAAATCTCGATATCTAAAAATAAGTGATAAGTATTATAAATGCCCCATTAAACCAAAATAATAAATGCCCAATTAAACCGGAATTTCTTCAAAATCATTATTTCGTGATTATTATGGCGCAATACGACGAGTGTAATTGCATGATAATTTGGAGTAGAAATCCAACTATTAGGGGCCAATTGTGGTGGTGTGTGACGATTATAAACAATAACGGATAAGTAGATCTGGGAAGTAATAAAAAGATGAAAGAAAAAGACGATAATAAAGAATGGACGTCGAATATGGGCTTGGTGGGTTCATTTAGTATATTATGTTGACAATAAACCGGTTCATATAACCTGGAATATAAACGAATGTTTAAATATAACATCAATTAAAATTTTTTTAAAATATATTTAAAATATATTTTTTAAGACTAGAAGTTCAAACTAAATATTACAAGTTATTTTATACCTTCCAACCAAGAAATTTTCCGGCTGGTAAATCCTCAGCAATACTAAAAGTAATAATGGCAAAAATAATTATAAAATTTAGAATTTTAAACATTTTGATATAAGATTTAATTAAAAAGGCTAAAATATTCAATTAATACTAAGGTTAAAAGTGATTTAGAAACTAAATGACTACGTTTGAACTTCTAGGTTTAAAAATTATATTTTAAATAACACCTGCAAATAAAAATGCTCTCTTTTGATAGCTGAATGATAATTCCTAAAATGGTTACAAAGTGGAAAATTAGAATTAATTTTGTTTGATTAGAGATAAATAAATATAAAAAGTTCAAAAATATCGAAATCGAAAATTTTAATCAATCGAAAATTTACAAAACCGCTAAAACGAAATTTTGAAAAGCTCGAGGAAAAAAAACCAGATATGTCAAAAATGATTTTTGTCAAAAATGGCTTTTTTGTAATTCGACTTTCGTCTTTCGCCTTTTAAATTTTTTACTTCCCAAAAATTTTTCCTTCCCAAAAGTAAATATAAGTTAAGCAACGGATATTATAGGAAAAATTAAAGATTAAAAAAAGTTCTAAAAAAGGAAAAAGAAAAATTGTGTTTAGCTCGCGTAATTGAATGCGCATTAAAAATATAAAAAAACTAACGAACACTAATGGAACTTAGTTTTGTGTCAGCAGAGTATTCCAAAAAGGAAACTCTCAAAAAAGAAATAAGCCATTTTTCCCGGAGGCTTGCCGTGCCAGGCAGCTGGAACATCAATGAAAATGAAAGCTCTCTAGCTAAAAGTTATATGTTTTTCCAAGCCCTAGTAATTAAGCATATATTTATTCTTGGGTTATAGAATAGTAGAATATTAATTTATACCGTGTTGAAACTAGTGTTAGGCACGGTTAATTACTACCGCCGTAATACCTTCAGTCCGGATCGGTATCGTTCGGTCTTCGGTACCGTACTGGCATATTTTAGATTTTCTGTACTCAACCGGTACATGTCTTTCTGCCACTACTGATACCGGAAGAATACATTTGCCTAACAATGTTGAGACTGAAGATAGGAAGGAATGAATTATAGTAATACATTGGGCATGGTTCTACTGATTGCTTACACTCAAACTAATTAAATTTTAAAACTTTTTAAAAGATGTTGTATGCGAGCATCCAAATCCTGAACAACTCCCATATGGACAGCAAGGAATAAACTATCAAATGTTTCCTTATAATCCACACGTTTATGGTATCTTAATGATTAATTTTAAATATTAGAAAACCATAGGATATCAACATGCTCTACAACATAATCCAGATTATCGTAATTTAATTTATCTAATTATCCTTAATTCTAGGGAGTTAGAAAAATTTTTAATAACTTCATTATATTAAGTCGCGTCATAATTAGTGGCCGTTTTTTTAGATAAATTTTTAGGGGTGTTGTTTTACAAATTTTCTTTTTCATTATTAATAAACATATAGATCTGAATCTACTCTTCATTTTAATATCACATATAGCTATATACTGGTGAAATTATTAAGGTTATGATTTTTTGAACTCCACTAACTCGTATTGAAATTCAATCATTTACACCAAAAATTTTAAATTACTAAAAATGGAACAAAATAATCAAATATCTTAATGATCTAGTCAATGGGGTCGTTGTCTATGATAGACAGCAAAAAATGGGTTCAGGCTTTATGATTTCCCCCTAGTAATCATTTTAAAAGATAGCCGACAGAATCTCTTTCTTTACACAATGTATATATATAATTATTTTATGATTAAAATTAAAAACTAGAATATGATAATCAAATGCAACAAGCCATTGATCAGTCTGCTAAAGAAATGTTTCAAAAACAACAAGGTTATTCAAAAGGACCGATGATTAGAGGTATAAATATATACCTTTCAAATTTTTTAAAAATATTTAAGAGCCGACAAGTATATGGCATTCAATTATTCGAGGAAAAGGACATCATTCTGATGACCCTAAACGAAAAGGGAAAGAGATTGATTTAAATGAAGAGCCTGAAACTGACTCTGATTGAAGTGTCAAGAAAAAATATATCGTTAGAAAAAGGATGTTATTTGGGAATTAGTTTATCCAAAATATACGGTAATTGCGAGCTTCGCCTCCCTCCACTTTTTCTTTGCCTTTTCCATCCTTAAGAGTATACATAATGGTCAGTACACCCCAAGTTACCGCAAGGCAATGTACCGCCGGGCGATAACTTTGTTCAAAATTGTCGAATCCGGAACACCCTGGTATGGTTTCGTCGCATCTCGACGAACTGAATCGAACATACCTGGACGTCCCGGATTCGACAATTTTGAAGAAGTTATAGCTCGGCGGTACCTTGGGTTCGTGGTACCTTGGCCTGCTCCCAGCTCTGACTTTTCAATTTTCGGGACTCTTTATCTCGGCTCAGAGGCAAGACAAGGCTTATGTAAATATTTTCCTCTCTTTTTGGATATATTTTAATGAGTAAATAGAAACAAATAAATATAATTTGTTTAATCAGCTAAAACTCAGATACCCGGAGGTAGCAGACGACATAAAAAATATGCGACAAGGCGACTATAAATTTAAAAATAAGAAAAAAATCGAGGCTTGAGGTCGTTTTGGCGCAAAACATAAAACTGGTACTTAGGCAAGACCTAAATTCTTAAAAATTTTCTCAAATTTCGTTAACATCCTTGACTACCTCCTCCAAAAATTTCAGAATATTTCATCAAATATTTCTGAAGTTATAGTCGATAGACCTCGAAAAATTAGGCATTTTTCAGAAAATCAACATTTTTGGCCACAATTTCTGAAATTCTTGATCAAAAATTCTGAAATTTTTGGAGATCTTAGATAAATGTACGAGAGTTATTATTGCAAAATTTTATCATTTTTTGATAAACAAATCACTGTTTTATAAGCTCGCGCCAAAACGGCCCCGCAAACGCTCAGACCCAAATCAAAGGGTAAATCTCAGTTTTTAAATTTAAATTTTTAAAAATTTCCCAAGTTCTTTTTAGTAAATAAAATCCATTGTTTGTTTCATCGTTGCTTTCATAATCAATGTTTGCGATGAGATTTCTCTTTATCTTTCGAGCTGTCGCGTGGGGCTGATTGTTGAGGTGGATTGGTTGGAGTAGATTGTTGACCTTATTTTATTTTATATTATTTATAAAGTAAGAGAGCAGAAGAGCTTAGCCAGGGACAGGCATCAAGCCGTTTTCTCCTAGTAAAGTGCCGTACACCTACCCCGTACAGACTGAGCTACCGGGACGCTGTTATCAACTCCTCTTTCAATAGATCCTTTAAACTAACGCTTATTCACTTCATTACTGTGTCCGGAGAATTAGGCTCTAAAAAATTGGGCTCAAAGATTTTTCGAAAATCGGGCTCCAGCAGAATTTTGGGCTTTACATGAAAAACTGGAATAATCGGCTGTAGAATTTTGGGTTCCAGCAGAATTTTGGGCTCTAAGGAAGAGAGTAAAATTATATGAGATATCTCCTGTCTTTTTTCTCTTCTTATTTCTTACAATATCGTCATGTACATTAAAAAAATAATATTTCGAAGGTTGGCTTAACCCATAAACTATTTAAAAAACAGGATCCTTGAGAAAAAAATTTAAAAATAGATATGGTAATGCTATGGTTTAGATAAGGATATGGAATAGAAAAAAAGTTAGATTATGAATAATCTACCTGGAATTTGAAGACCAGATAAAGGTTGGTTTTGATAAAGTAAATTTAACGAAGCCTGCGAAGCACGATCAATGTCAAGTTGCTCTTGAGGTGCTATTAAATTAATTTTAATATTATTGGTTAATTAAATTCTGGTGTAAAATTTCCTGATAGGATTTTAAAATATATGTGACAGATTATGGTAAATATTTTGATATTATCTAATAGATTTAGTTCCTATTAATTTAAAATTTTCCTAATTACTAAACTTACTAATATACTCGATACTGGGATATCGACTTCCTTGGCCACGTTGACTTCCTGAACCAAATTGTTGGCTTACTGAACCATAAACATGAGTTATTGGATCAACATAATGACCTGTTTGATCAATATAATGACTTCCATGAGCATATGGTTGACTTCCTTGTGCAGAAGATTGACTTCTTTGAGTATAAGGGTAACTTCCTTGTGGATATGGTTGACTTCCATGAAGATAAGTCTGACTTCCACGAGGATACAGTTGACTTGGTTGAGCATAAGTTTGACTTCCTTGAAGATACTGTTGACTTGCTTGAAGGTTTGTTTGAATCCCTGGAGCATAAACATTACTTCCTGAACCTTGATGACTTCCCAAGCCATAAACATGACTCCCTTGATGACTTTGTGTACCATAACCATGATGTTCAGGAGCATAAAGATGACGTCCTGGATCAACATATGTTCCCGAACCATAAATATAACTTTGCGGGTCAGCATAATGACCAACTGGATCAGGATAATAACTTTCTTGAGCAGAAGGTTGACTTGCTTGATCATGTTGTCCTCCCATATCTATTTATAGTTTTATTTTGATTATGTTTTAATATGAAAGAATATTTTTACCACTATGATATTCATTTATATGGGCATCTATGTGATCATATTCGATGGCCTTGAACTAAAATTAAAACGCTTAAAAACCATCTAAATAATATTTACTAAAAACAGGGGTTCGATCTCGAATTTTTAAAAAAGCGCAATGAAAAAATCCGCATTTTATATCAAAAAACCGCAAAAAATTATCAAACACAAAAATTGAATTAAAATCACTTTATGCGTTATATTTTTTAACTTCAACAATTGAATTAGCCAATCTGTTATTACTAATGATCATCTTATAAAAATCCGAACAATTAACGGAAAAATTTTAGTTGACTTGAGCTAATGATCTCACCGTTCTACTTGTAGTGAATTGCGCCGCAAGCGAAAATTTTGAGGATTTTGGAAGGTCTTAGCAGAAAAATGATATTTTATCCTAAAAACTACAAGAAAAAAATCCTCATAATCTTCAAAAGCCCACAAAATCCGCAAATCTACATTTTTAAAAATAATGCTCATCGCCCTATAAAAACCCTAAAAACACCACAAACTGAGGAAAAATCCTCACATATCGAAACCCTGTTATAAAACATACTTTTTGGTTTTGACACAATTTACAGACACAGATAACAAAATTTTCATTAGCCTTGTCAATATAAATGTGGTCTGAATATCTCAAGTCATTTATTCTACTTTGTATTCTTTTCTTTCTTGAGCCTAAATTAAATAATATATAGTGATACACATAACTGGTAATAAATTGCGATGATGTTTACTCCCAGCCTTGTTAACTTTTTAATTGAATGGATAACAATTGGAGATCAGATCGAAACAAAATCTCGATCACAAATTTAGATTCCCGAGCGAACGCTACCCCAATCTTTAATGATGACTTTGCTTCGGAAGCTCTAAGGAATCGACTTTTACTCCTTTACTTCATTATATACACTTAGAAATTACCTTCTTTAGGTGCCGAAATGCCAGGTTTTTGTTGTTCGCTTTGTGGTTTACTGCTTGTGATTCCTTCGCTCTCTAAATTTTAAAATTAATCGTTGAAGGAAAAGGAAATTTTAAACTGATCGCAGCTTGATGATTTGCTGAGTTTATATGTTGATCAACACAATTCTCAACTCCTGGCTTATCGGTTATTTGAAACTAAAATACATTAAATTGTGGCAGTCTTCTCATATAAAATATCTTGGTCAGAGTTCTGTTTTTCTCTTGGTCTGAGTTCTGTTTCGTCTGGGTTTGTCCGATATATACCAAAGTTAATGAGATTACACAAAGGTCTATCACGTAGAGAAAAGAACAATACATAGATTATAGAGTTAGGTTTAATGTGGGATATCTAATAAAACTGACATTTCACCGAAACTTATGGAACAAAAATCTAAGTTATCGGCATAAATATTTTTTGAAATTTTCCAGGTTGTCTCTAGTTTTATACAGACTAGAGACCAAATCTGCTTTCTTGACCTCGAAACTGAAAAGGGGAAATCTCGATTATTATAAACTAGAGCTTAACATTTTCACTTTGCCGGGCCCGGTATCAGGGTTGTTACTCCCATGTTGACCCAGTCCGGGGTTTCCGGGCTAAAACCTCGAAAATTCGAAAAACTAGAAACCGGAAACCCGGAAAACCCGGATTTTATTAATATATCCGGTTTCCGGGCTACCGGGCCCTGAAACTCCGGTTCCGGGTCCGAGTTCTATTATAAACTATAAAAGTGTTGGCCCCTTGAGAATTGTTTCTTATGCTCGTCCACTTAGGTAAATCTTGGAAAACCAAAGGACAAAACAGAAACATTTAATTATCGCTACCGGTAATTTTCGTCTTTGGCGGCTTCAATGGGGAATTTTAAGGGCCATTGAGCCGCCATAGGCGCAAATTACCCAGTCTCGATCATCTATAAGTAATCCAATATAAAATTTTATATTACATCAGAGCCCATTCCATGTTTTTTACATATAAGGCATTTTCCCATAATACCGTTGCCAATTTTTTCAATCTTAATTTGTTGTTGAGTGTATTTATGTTCTTTCACCCTTCTTTGCGCTCTTTCTTTTTTCGTTCCCTTTCGTTTCGGCTCTTTATCTTGGTTGAAAGTATAACTTAGATTTATTTACTTATTAGTAAAGTTTACCCTTTGGATCAGGTTGACTAATTGGAGCAGCTTGCTCGGCTTGTTTTGATGTTTGCTCTACTTGTTGGCTTACTTAATTGTTTATAAGATAGGTCAATTTGTATTGTATATGTTGTGTCCGCACTTGCAGAAAGAATATAAATGAAAATAAATAACCCATCATCGGGCTGGATGGTGGCACAGTCGGTTGTGCTTCGGTCTGGGCTCATTCTGTGATGGTTCTATTCCATCTCCCATCCAATGAATTTTTCCACAGCATGAACATTATAGTATAACTGTTTGGTTTGTAGTTCCAAGTTTTCAGTAACCAGCCGTAGTCGGCACGGCCTTAAACTTAACACTGCCAGATATGTAACAGTATATTAAATCAAAATTTAATGATTTAATCGCTAGAAAAATATTATTATCTCGTCAAAAGGAACGCACTCACTTTAGTTATTAAAAACAGCTTTATTTACTCTTTATAAGCATACCTTTAAGCCATTGATTCAAATCGTCATCTCCAACAAATCTAGGTGTTGAATCATCATGTTGACGATCCCAAAAACTTACTGGTGTTAAGGGAGGTGGCGAAAATAATGATTCGTAATTTGTTGGTGTATAATCGGCTTGACTAGTTGGCTCGTCTTGTTTTGATACTGACTCTTCTGGTATAGAACCTAAAAATTATTTCATTTAGAATAATATGTACTAGTTTAAATTGTCAAAGAGCTGTACAGAGCTCTAGCCGATCCTTCCATCGAATAGAGAACTCACAATGTTCAATCAAAATATGTTTAATTATCGAGCCTTCGCTCTGATTATCAGATATATTAAGCTTTGATTGTCCGAAAATCTCTAAAATGGCCAAAAAATTGTCATAAATGTTAAAAATCATAAGTTAAATTAATTATATTATATTAAACATACTTTCAGGCCATGGATTCGGAATGTAATCTTCATGGAAAGTAGGTTGTTGTTGATTATGATAGGGATGACTGCCAAAAATCTCAGCCAATCCGAAAAAACCTGTTTGTTGCTCTCCATGCGGACTAGGCATTCCTGTACTTGTAGTAGCGTCTGGATTGCTTGTTCCTGTTCCTGTCCCAGTGTCACTTCCTGAAACACTTCGGCGCTTAGTTGGATCGAAATCCTCTTTTGCACTATCCCTCGTGTGTTTTGGAAAGGAAACAATGGTTGTTATAAATAAAGGGATTAAATAAATAATTAAGAGCTTCATAGCTCTCCTGGAAATTAATAATTCTTGTTATTTAAACTTTCATTAGTTAAATATTATATTTATTAAAAAGTAATTAATAAACTTTATTAGCAAATATTCATATTTTTATGGCTAGGTTGGGACGCTTATATATATATGTATGTATATTTATTTAATAAATTTTTAAATGAATTTCCTTGAAATAAATTATTGGATTTTTCTTTTTTGACGGAAGCTGACTGAGTGAAGGTAAGGAGGCAGGGAGGGTAGGAGGGACGGGAAGGCAAAGAAAATTATTGAATTTTTCTTTTGTATTTGACGGAAGTTGACTGAGTGAAGTTAAGGAGGGCGAGGGATGGAAAAAGGAAGGGGGAGGTGAAGGGAAGGGAGCGAGGACGGGAGGGAGAGGAGGGAGGGAGGGAGGGCAAAGGAGAGAGCGTGGGAGGACGGGAGGGAGGGAGGGAGAAGGAGGACAAAGGGAGAGTGTGGGAGGAAGATAGCGAGGGAGAACGGGAGGGATGTGAAGGGAGGGGAGGGAAGAGACTTTCACCATTTAGAAATGCTGTAAAGAAGGAAAAAAATTTTCTATTAGCTAACTGTCATGAATGTAGAATAGCAATAATCAATGCCTTCTCGATTGATTTTCAAAAATTAAAATTTGAAGTGATAATAAAGTGTTGTAATAGGCGAGAGAAGGAGATGGTGAGAGAAGGAGAATAGGCGAGAGAAAGAGATTGGAGTGCCCGTTTGGGAATAAGTTGGGAATATTTATTTATTATTCTGTAAAAAAATAATTAAATATAATTTGTTTAATCAGCTAAAACTTAGATACCCGGAGGTACCAGTCATAATAAAAAATATGCGACAAGGCGACTATAAATTTAAAAATAAGAAAAAAATCGAGGCTTGAGGTCGTTTTGGCGCAAAACTAAAAACTGGTACTTAGGCGAACCCAAATTCTTAAAAATTTTCTCAAATTTCTTTAAAATCCTTGACATATACCGTATTTATTCTAATTAAATGGCACCTCCATTTGAATGGCACCTCCAATTGAATGACACATTTTTGAATGAATGAAAAATAGAATGGCAGCCTCTATTTGAATGGCACCTCTAATAGAATGGCCATTTTAACTATTAACTACCTAACTCTTATTTTCTTTATTTCCTTTATTAACTAGTTTAATATTCCTTTTTATATGAATAATTCCGATATTTTTGAGCAAGTCTAGGGTCAAAAAAGTGGTGCTTGAGAGGGATATTAAGGGATTTGAGAGGATAATGGGGGATATAGTGAAATTTAAAAAATTCGGCGAAGATATCGAGGGATTAAAATAAAATAATTATGGGGTGATATCTATTAGATGTCCGAGACAGAAAATTTTTCAAGACCAAGACCTGACCCCAGACTCAAGACCAAGACTTGTCTCTGAGTCTCAAGACTAATAATTAACAATTATCAAGACAATTTTTCGTCCATAGAACAAATTTTTTGGTGATTCGTCTTATCAGTCGTATAATCGAGTGATTAGGAAGGATTGGTGAAGATGTAAATGGTTTTGGAAGGAATATTTCCTTAATTATGTACCTATTAATTATGTATCTGGTACCTGCTATTTTTAAGTAAAAGTCAATGTAGATGCTTGAAAGTAATCCCCCCTCAAATCCCTCAAAACTAACAAATCCAGATCCCTATATCTCGCCAAATCACCCAACATCCTCCTCAAAATTAAAATAAAATAATTATGGGGATAACCCTCAAATCCATCAATATCCCTCCAAATGTCTCTTGATCCCATTATATCACACCCAGATTCCATGATTTAATAATCAATCAGGACCCAACTGTGCAGGAAATTTTGATTGTTTGCACCGAGCTTAATCAAAATTTGACTCTTTAGCCCCGAGATAAAAAATTTTTGAATCATATAGTGATACGTAGAGGAAAATTCACTACTAAAATACTAAACTATCGAATTTTCCACCAAAAAAGGTGGGTAGAATTGCCAATTTTCCTAATCCTCGTCCCAATATAAACAATCCCAATCTAAATTTCTGACCTATGAAAAATAGAATGGCAGCCTCTATTTGAATGGCACCTCCAATTGAATGACAATTTTTGGGGTATTGAAAAATAGAATGGCTGCCATTCAATTAGAATAAATACGGTATATATGTATGTATATATATTTAATAAATTTTTAAATGAATTTCCTTGAAATAAATTATTGGATTTTTCTTTTTTGACGGAAGCTGACTGAGTGAAGGTAAGGAGGGAGGGAGGGTAGGAGGGACGGGAAGGCAAAGAAAATTATTGAATTTTTCTTTATTTGACTGAAGTTGACTGAGTGAAGTTAAGGAGGGCGAGGGATGGAAAAAGGAAGGGGGAGGTGAAGGGAAGGGAGCGAGGACGGGAGGGAGAGGAGGGAGGGAGGGAGGGCAAAGGAGAGAGCGTGGGAGGACGGGAGGGAGGGAGAAGGAGGACAAAGGGAGAGTGTGGGAGGAAGATAGCGAGGGAGAACGGGAGGGATGTGAAGGGAGGGGAGGGAAGAGACTTTCACCATTTAGAAATGCTGTAAAGAAGGAAAAAAATTTTCTATTAGCTAACTGTCATGAATGTAGAATAGCAATAATCAATGCTTTCTCGATTGATTTTCAAAAATTAAAATTTGAAGTGATAGTAAAGTGTTGTAATAGGCGAGAGAAGGAGATGGTGAGAGAAGGAGAATAGGCGAGAGAAAGAGATGGAGTGCCCGTTTGGTAATATGTTGGGAATATTTATTTATTATTCTGGAAAAGTTTTCAATATAATTCTTTAAGGATTGTGAGGTTCGCTGGAATTCGAACTATTTAATGATCAGGTCACGATTCAATAATAGAAGAGGGCCATATATTAAAAGAAAATGTCTTCCCAACATTTATGGAAGGTGGAAGGGATTTAATAAATGAATTCAAGTGACCTACATACGCATTAAATGACCTACATATGACCTACATACGCATTTAAGGATCCTTAAAGAAAGTTTAATTTTTGAAAATCAATCGAGAAGGCATTGATTATTGCTATTCTACATTCATGACAGTTAGCTAATAGAAAATTTTTTTCCTTCTTTACAGCATTTCTAAATGGTGAAAGTCTCTTCCCTCCCCTCCCTTCACATCCCTCCCGTTCTCCCTCGCTATCTTCCTCCCACACAATCCCAGGATCCTTAAAGAAAGTAGGATCCTTAAAGAAAGGATCCTTAAAGAAAGTATATTCTAAACTAGAGGTCAGCACGGGACAGGATCCCGTACGGGATTTACGGGATCCTGTCCCGAAATCCCGTATTTTTAGTGACGAACGGGATTTACGGGATTAATCCCGCGGGATCCTGTCCCGTAAAATTTTTTACGGGATCCCGTAAATGCGATTTTACCGAACTCTATTCTAAACTAAACGTTAAACAGTGAATTGCATTAAAAGTTCCCTCTGGAAGATACAAAATTCGTCGTAATTCTTTAAATTTTTCTCTTGCAATGTTTAAATTTTTTTATTTTGTTTTTTCTTGTTTTGCGGCACTCGAGGGCGTCAACGGTTGCTGGGGTCTACTACAAAAACCTATCCCTTTTTCCATTTTCAGACTTGATTTGGCGACCTAACCCCGTATCTCTCAAAAATCTGTTGGACTCTAAACTTTTCATTGGACTCATAAGGTTTCATCAACTCGTAAAGTTCGATTAGACTCATAAAGTCAAGTAGACTCCACTTATCTGCCTTACGACAAAAGTCACAAAACCTTTAAAACAGGAAAACTTGCTATTCCGGATAGAGAAGTAATGAAAAACACGCTACTAGTTTTACATAGAGTCGAATGAATGAGAATATTCTCTATATATGAAGTTAGACAAATGTTAAATTCCCTCGACTTCTTACGAATCCATCTCCCTCTCCTCCATCTCCCTCTCCTCTTATCTCCTCGCTCTCCTCCTCTCCACCCACCCACCCACCTCCCTCCCTCCTCCTCTCCACTCCCCCCCCCCCCCCCACCATGTTAAATAATGTTGTCAATCAATTAATTTAACTCAATAAAAATTTAAAGAATCAATAGATTTTTCAAAATGTCAATTTCCGATTTTTAAATTTATTTGTTCGAGAGGCTCTTGTTTTGCAAAGAAATAAATTCATAGAAAAACAGAAGGTAGTTGAGGAAATTGAAGGGAATTTCAGCTGAAATTTGTGATTTTTTAAATATATTCCTCGGAGTCCGTTGGAAATACATAAATCATGTTTAGATCCCCGATATCTAATTAATCCCTCGATATCTCTCCAAATCCCTCGATGTCTATCCGATGCCTCTCCAAATTCCACAAACTAAATTATGTTTCAGGATGAAAAAAAGAGTGGCAGCTCCAATGATGTGGGCAGTGAGTGATATAGACGGTCTCAAATTCTTTTTGTGCCGAATTAGAGCTGCCTTTTGAGAGGGGATTGAAAAATGAGCTCTGGATGTTCAATTAGAAAAAAGACGTTTTTTGTTTATTTAAATAATATTTTGGTGCCTAGTGATTTAGGCAACGGTCATTTGGGCAGTGAGTGATCTGGGCATCTCAAATTTCCTTAATGTACTTAATTACCTTCTCCAGAATTTTCAAAATATTCATCGTATCCTGAAAGTTAGTCGTTAAATTTTGATTATGATACCGTATTGATACCATATTAACAAACTCCCATTGAACTCATAAACCAGAATAAACTAAAATTTTTAAATTTAACACTTTAGGTCTGCAAAAGATTAAAAGTATAATAAAGCTGAATTTATCAAACAATTTTAGAATAAAAAATTAGACGTATCATTAATTTTGAAGTTCAATTCTTGTTTAAAACTTCTGCAATCTTTTCTTTCATCTTGTAATCTTCATTGTTTTCCACATATTCAATCTTTTCGTTTAGCTTTCCCTTTACCTTTTGGGTCGTTGTTTTGAGTTGATTGTTGATTTTGCTCGGTTGAATCAAACCCTAAGCTTATTTAATTTAAATTAGTTTTAATATGAGACACATAAAGCCGTTGATATAAATGCTACTTGAAAGAAGATAGAAAATAAGGGTTTTTTTCTTTTGTATGGGGTGATTAAAAGAGATGTAGAGGGATTTACGAGATTGAGGGGATATAGAGGGTTTGGGAGATAGTTGGGTATTGGCTTAGTATAAAAGCCTTCCTATTATTCAGTCGCGGTCTTAGTCTTATTGTCGCAGTGTTATTCTTATTCTATTCTGTCTCCACATATTCGGCGTTAGCCATATTCCTATTGTTCGCTATTATTGTATTTAGTATTGTAGTAGATAAAAGACAGTCGTTAGTTACTGTCTTATCTTGTTGTTACTCTTGTTAGTACGTAGACATACAAGTCACGTACATAACAGAGATTAAAAGAGATATAGAGGAATTTACGAGATTAATAGGGATATCGGGGAACTTGACGGGATTTAGGGGATATATTAACCTCTGACGGATTGCTACTGATTGATTTTCTGGACATGGATATGTGGCCCGCCTGAATAACTTTAAACCTCAGATAATCTACCTAAAATTTGAAAAGCCCGTTGAGGTTGATTTTGAATATCATTCAGCGAAGCCTGAATAGCTTGATTAATATAATGTTGCTCTTCTGGTGTTACTTAATGAAATTTATTTTTTTGAGTAATGAAAATGAATAAAATTTTGCTTAAAGTATTTCTTAAATGGGAGTTTTAATTTCCAGAGATTTAGTGTAATATAATATTAAAAAGTCCTATGAGATTAAGGAAGCTGGCCAATACATAGCGATCCCAATGTACCGCCAAGGTATAACTTAGTTCAAAATATTCAAATCCGGACGTTAGATCACCTCGACGAAACTAGTCGAAAACTCGCACACCCAAGCAGGGGAGTTGACAAGAGGTAATTAAGTATGCCTCCTCATTTCCTAAGTCATAAGCTCACCCGTTTCTTGATAACTTCCTTGCATATAACGTTGATTTGCTTTAGCATAGCTTTTACTTCCTTTAGAATAAGTCTGACTTGCATGAGCATAAGTTTGACTTCCTGACTCATAAGGCTGACTTCCTGACCCATAAACAAGACTTTCTTGAGCATAAGTTTGACCTGCTTGAGCTCCTTAATTTTTATAAAGTTGAATACATCTTAAATTCAAAACATTTTTACTTTGATGTTCAGCGATTATATGTTTATCAATGCCATGCTCGTCATGAACGATGAACTAAAATTTTCAACATATCAATTAGAAATCGGCCTGTACTTTGGATCCAGACCTTGATTTTTACTGGATCCAGTCAGATTAAGGTATTTTTTATATTCCTTGAATTTATCTCGACTCAGTGTCAAGAATCTGGTCAAGATCCTCACTTGAAATTTAAGTCAAGGATCAAGGTCAAGGTTTTTTTTAATTTCTGATCTTAGTAAAAAAATTATTGAATACAAAAAATTATTGAATACGGATCATTGAATACATCTTAAATTGATTTTTACTGGATCATTGAATACATCTTAAATTCAAAACATTTTTACTTTGATGTTCAGCGATTATATGTTTATCAATGCCATGCTCGTCATGAACGATGAACTAAAATTTTCAACATATCAATTAGAAATCGGCCTGTACTTTGGATCCAGACCTTGATTTTTACTGGATCCAGTCAGATTAAGGTATTTTTTATATTCCTTGAATTTATCTCGACTCAGTGTCAAGAATCTGGTCAAGATCCTCACTTGAAATTTAAGTCAAGGATCAAGGTCAAGGTTTTTTTTAATTTCTGATCTTTAATATTAATCATAAAATATCATTGGTAAAATTTTCAGTCTGTAAAGTCTTGCTAACTGTGACCAAAAATTTGATAAAAATTATACCATCGTGTAGAGCGGTCGATAACCTATTGCCAATTTATGGAATTTTCTCCTGACCCCCAATTAGAAAAGCTATAGCTCTCCCGAAGTTTCAAACTTTTGGAGCGGTTGAGTCTCCGTACTTTTTTTCTTCTCCCTTTCCCTTCTTTATTAAAAAAATCGCACCAAAATTTCAAGCAGGGACAGTATTATATGTAGTGAAGATAACAGACTCGATCCCATCTACTATTATATGTTTAAAGCCAAAATATTATTCGAAAATTCAGCCATATCGCAAACTTAGACTTTTTTTGAGAATTATACACGAAACCATAAAAAATAATTGCAATTTTTAACATCGAACCAGTATAGGAAGAATATTTATTGAAACTCATTTAATGTTCTCGGTTCCAGTTCTTAAAGGCTTTACCCGATATCTTGGAAACTTTCTGGATTTTTGGGATTAGTAGAGATTCCTTCTTACTAAACATCTCCTCATTATTGTTTTCGAAACATGTAAATATCTTTAAATTGTAACTATGGGAAGCCCCCGGATATCCGTTGTTTTTGGTGTGCCATTAATATTTGCTTTGAGCAATTTATTTTACGGCCTTATCGTTGCACTCATTAAAATTTAATTACTAAATATTGTTAAAAATTCATTGTCTAAATAAGAAAAGCAAAGCAGTAGAAAAAGAAAGGGAGAAGAAAATAAAGATGCGGGAAGAAAATAGGCCCTTGATTCTAAATAATCAAGAATCCCTTGATTCTAAATAATCAAAAATCTCTTGATTATAAATAATCAAGAATCCCTTGATTCTAAATAATCAAGAATCCCTTGATTCTAAATAATCAAGAATCCCTTGATTCTAAATAATCAAGAATCCCTTGATTCTAAATAATCAAGAATCCCTTGATTCTAAATAATCAAGAATCCTTGATTCTAAATAATCAAGAATCCCTTGATTCTAAATAATCAAGAATCCTTGATTCTAAATAATCAAGAATCCCTTGATTCTAAATAATCAAGAATCCCTTGATTCTAAATAATCAAGAATCCCTTGATTCTAAATAATCAAGAATCCCTTGATTCTAAATAATCAAGAATCAAGGGCCCAAATCCAGCCCTTGAGCCCTTGATTCTAAATAAAAAAATTTGAACTTAATGAAATTACATTTTTGTGTGCGGATATGCCTTGACGTTAGAAGGTCAAAAATGGTGATTCACAATAGACCAAGCACTTTAGGACTCGGTTCTTAATGCTTATTTTCGCAAATTTTGTATATTTCGGCAATTTTGACAAGGATAATTATTTAATGAAATTTAAAATACTAGCTAATTTTACTAGACATACTTGTTTACCACACAAATTACAAAGACAGACATCTGCAGTTCTATGAGACTTTATGATGCGGATTTTATTTGAATAGCCTAGATCATTTATCTTTTGTGATATTCGTGATATTCTTTCCTTTTTTGTGACCTTTGACTTTTCTTTAAATATTAATTAAATATAGTAGGAGTTTATCGAAAGTTTAGCAAAAGTTTCGAAAGTTTTACTTCAAAAATTGTTAGCTTACCAGTTGAAGGCTCAGAGATAATAGGTTGTTTCCTTTCTTTTGTTTGAGTTTTACTACTGGTTTCTTTCTCTAAAAAGATATTTAAAATTAATCTTTAAATGGAGAAAAATCTTATTTCCCATTCGGTTGGGGTTGTTTGTTAGCTTTCGCATTGCCGGTCCACTAAAATACATTTTTTGGACGAAGTTTAGGTAAGACGGATTTTGTCTGAATTTTGGAATTGAAGGTTTGCCCCTCACGCGTTGTCCCCGGCTCAATTAACAATGTTCTATGGTGAGAACTGCCCTCATCTTTAAAATTAATCTTCAGGACCTAAAAATATTTTTACATTTAGGATTAATATTATGATATTTTAATGCTTCTAGATGATTTTTTGATTGAATATGCTCATCAATTGCTTTATCATCTTTTATACGAAACTAAAAAATAAATTTATGTATTACTTTAAAATTTCTATTTTTTGGTCGTTGTGTGACCCTGGTTCCTACAGTAACATAAAACTTTGGTTTTTTTGAGTTGGTAATATGTGCTGCATTTAAAAAGCTTACCCCAAAGTCCGAACCATTATAGTCTTTACACAACTGACAGCGCCCTAATATTTGTTTGAATGTAGGCTTGTCAATTCTAATTTGACTTGGAGTATAACCAAGTTCTTTTACCCTTTCTTCTGCTCTTTCTTTCTGTGTACCAAGTTTCTTTGGCTTTTTATCTTTGATAAAGAAGGAGATTTGATAAACTTAATTTTATTAGAAAAGTTTACCTTTTGGATCAGCTTGATCGGCTTGTTTTGGTATTGACTCTTCTTTGTCAATATCTAAATAGTTTTAGATAGCGTGGCGCGACATTTGGGGATCAGACTTGGGGACCCGACAGTTGGGGACGACTTTTGGGGACCCGACACTTAGGGACCCGACATTAGGGACCCGACACTTGTAGACCCGATATTAGGGACCCGACATTAGGGACCCGACACTTAAAGACCCGACATTGGGGATAAAGTCGGGTCCCCAAAAGTCTGATCCCAAAATGTAGGGTAGCCTTAGATAATTCTTATTAATTACCCCTAATTTGTTTTCTATACTGTATTAAACATACCTTCAAGCCATGTATTTAAATCCGCATCGCCTAATAAACTAGTCGATTGAGCTGGTTGGTAATCCCAATAATTTTGTGGTGTGAATTGTGGTGAAAATATTGGGTGTTGATAATATTCCTGCATATCACCTTGGTAACCAAAATGTTGATGAGTGGAATTAAGACTTGGAAAATGTTGTTGTTCATGTTGGTTAAAGAATGATTGATCGCCGAGAATGTCTTCCCATCCTTGTAGACCTGGATTCGATTGCCCCTCACCCTGATAACTAGGCATTCCTGTACTTGTAGTAGCGTCTGGATTATTTGATCCTGTCCCAATTTGGTCACTTTCCGTCACACTTTGTAAGTCTTCATTTCCTATTGATGATGGATTAGTCGGTTGAGGAGTTTGGTAATCCCAATAATCTTGTGGTGTGAATTGTGGTGAAAATATTGGCTGATCATGATAATCCCAAATGTCACTTTGGTAAGGTTGAAAAGAACCAAAACTTGGAAGATTTTGTTCTTCTTGTTGATTAAGAAATGGATGACCGCCAAAAAACTCTGCCAATCCGTGTAATCCTGTATTTGTTTGCCCTTCTCCCTGCGAACTAGGCATTCCTGTGCTTGTAGTAGCGTCTGGATTGCTTGTCCCTGTTCCTGTCCCGGTGTCACTTTCTCCCGACACATTTCGGCGCTTATTTGGATCACCATCTGGACTATCCCTCGTGTGTTTTGGAGGGCACACGATGCTTGTTATAAATAAAGGGATTAAATAAATAAGTAAGAGCCTCATTGCTCTCCTGGAAATAAATTCTTAATAGATATTATAAGCTTATACAATTAATAAATAGGTACATATGTAAGTAGAAAATAGGGCCTATTCCTTTATTATTTGTCGTTATAAAGGATCGCTTGTCGCAAAAGTCGCAAATCTTAAAAACAGGGAAACTTTCAATTCCGATTAGAGGAAGTAATGAAAAAACTTCACTTTCACTTAGAAATGTAATTTTATAATAAATTTGCTTCTTTAATTATAAAAATTGAATAGAGTGTCGAATGACTGAGAATATTCCCTATATATGAAGGGTAGACAATCGTTTATTTACTTATTTATCAACATAAAAAAAATGTCATCGAAAGGGCGTGCCACTTACTCCGACAACAATGTCGTAGTGTGGCACTTAAAAGATGTAATAAAAATATATATAAAAAAAAACAGCAAAAAAAACAATAAGTCAATAATAATTAAGGAAAAAACACATATAAATTTATATTTAATTAATTTATTTGTTTAAATAAATATACTCCGTACCGACTATTTTATTTAAGGTGCTTTAATAGAAAACATAAATCAAAAATCTAAAAAGAAGGTCCATTAATTTAATTTCTGTTTAAATTTTGTCAAAATTTAAAGAATTAATTTCTTCAACAATTTTGCTGCGTTTTTCGTTGTTTGTCATATTTGCTGCAAAATTTAAAGGAGAAAATTCTGAAGAATTGCGCTTAGACATGCCACAAAAAAATATTACCCAATTAAATGCCTTTTTTAAAAATTTCCTTAAAAAAATATTGTTTAAAAAATAAAAATTAATATAAAAAATGATAAATTTCAATAAAAAAAATTAAGAAAAGGGGAAGAAAAAAATTCTAATTTTATGAATCATCAAAAGAGAAATAGCACGGATGACAGAGAAAAAAAGATTGTCATCTAAATAAAAATATTTTTTAGATAGAATGCCAAATTAATATATTAAATTACCAATTTAAATTTTTTTTTTTCAAAGATTTTTAGAAATTGGAAATATTTTTAGGATTTGAATTTATTATTAGGATTTAAAAATATTTTCTCTATCGCCTGCGATTAACCTTGTTGTTCTATAATATTTTTATTTGTATTTAAAGCAGTTATTCTCTCATAAATAAGCCAAATTTTATATTCGAAATTTAATTATAAAGATATGAGGGAGGATTGGCAAAAATGAAGTTTTGAATTTTTTAGATATAATGTTAAATAATAAATTCATTATCAATTTGAAAATTTTCTTGAGAGTGAAAGAAAAATAAAGAAAAAATATTCTATATTTAGAGCAATAGGCTTTAAAGAATAAAATTTATAATTTAAGGGAATTTACAAGAATTGATTTTATTTTTTATATAATAGCAATAAAAACAGATTAGATTAGATCTATTGAATAAGTATTGCTTTTACTTTATTTTTAAAACTAGGGGTTATTTTTGTAGTCCTAATTTCGTCATTTAAAACGTTCCACATCTTAGTTACCCTATTAACAAATGAGTTAGATGATTTTGAATTTTGACTTTTAGATAATAAATAACATTTTTTTCTATTTGATATCTTAAAAAGATTGTCTGGTTCAAGATGTGTATATCCATGTAAGATTTTATGAGCCAATACTAAATCATAAGTCTTACGACGGTTTTCAAGAGTAGGAAGATTAAGGAACTCTAATCTTTGTAAATATGGTATATAAGGTAATGAGCATTTTCGAAGTAGGATTTTTGTAAAGAATTTTTGGCATTTTTCGAGTTTGTTAATTTCAGATTTTAGTTGTGGATTCCATGTTTCAGGAGAGTATTCTAGTAAGGGTCTTATATAACTTTTATAGATAGTAAGCCAAGTTTTTATAGATTTAGACTTAATTATTTTGAAAACGAAATTCATTTTTATATAAGCTGCCCTAATAATTTTTTGTACATGTTCTTGAAATCTAAGTTTATTATCAATTATAATGCCTAGATCTCGTATAGAATCTACTTCGTTTATAGTTGCATCAAAAATTTTATATTGATCTTTAGGGTTATTTTTACCAAGATAGATTATATATGTTTTATTAATAGCTATATTTAATTTCCATATGGTTGACCATTGTTCAATATTTTTGATAGCATTTGTAAGCATTATTCTTTCATTTTTTGTTTTGTGTACAACATATACTTTAACATCGTCAGCAAAAAGTTTTATTTTTATACCATTTGGGATTATATCAGGTAAATCATTTATATAGATTAAAAATAATAGTGGGCCTAAAACTGATCCTTGTGGTACACCTGATTTAATATTTCTGGGTTTGGATAATTCATTGTTTATTTTAACTCTGAAAATTCTATTAGAAAGAAATGATGAAATCCAATTTAAAATTTTTCCTCTTATACCTATTCTATATAATTTGTTGATTAAGAGATCATGTGGTACTGAGTCAAATGCTTTTTTGAAGTCAATATATATACAGTCAATATTCTTTTTTCCCATTATTGCATCGTACCAATCTTCTAATGTAGTGATTAGTTGTGTTGTAGTAGATCTATTTTTTATAAATCCATATTGGTCTTTGCTAAATAGATTGTTATCTAACAGAAATTGAACAATGTATTTATTAAGAACCATTTCCATGACCCTGCATATGGCACATGTTAATGCAATAGGCCTGTAATTTTCGGGATTTGATTTTTCTCCTTTTTTGAATAATGGTATTATTATAGATTCCTTCCATATATCAGGTAATATACCTGAATCTAGTGATATTCTAAATATTTCCGATAGAAAAGGAGCTATAGAGGGAAGTACAATCTTTAATATTTTATAATTTATATTATCAGGTGAAGTACCATTTCTGTTAGGTAATTTTTTAATGAAACTGATAATATCAATTATATCAAAATCAACATCTTCGATGATAGGTATTTGATTATTTTCATTGTTATTATGGCTATATTGCATATTAGTATTGGAGAAATTTTCAAGAAAGATATCAGCAAAAATTTCAGACTTATCTATTGATTTAGTGATATAACTATTGTTATAATAAAGCACTGGAATTTCATTATTCGTATATTTAAATTTTTTAAGGTATTTATGAATAGAATCTCTATTTTTAGTGATAAAAGCATTTTGTTTTTTATTATGAAAGTTTCTAGTCTGAATTTTTATATGCAATGATATACTATCATATAATTCTTTATATTTTAGTTTATCAGTTTTAAGTTGTCTATAAATTTCGGCTTTCTTTTTAATAGATGCTTTCAAGTGAGCAGGGTAATTATGTCTAAGATCTTTTTTAGTTACAAGTTTTTCAGGTACATATAAGTTAAGAGATGCTAAGATGTTGTCTATGAAATGATTATATTTATCTTCCAAATAATAATTTTGAGTGGATATAATCGGTATAATAGAAGATAGAAATCTATTTAATAAAGATGTATTAGCCTTATTATATTTTCTATATTTGATTGGTTTGACTTCTTTTTTGATTATAGGGAATGATAAATCAAAGATTAAAGCATCATGATCTGAATTAAACAAGGACCCATCAACATAAATATTTTGAAATAGATCAGGTTTATTTGTTAAACAAACATCTAGATAAGCATCGTTTCGAGTGGGACCTGGTGTAGTAGAGGATAAATTCATAGAATTGAAAAAACTGAGAAATAGATCACCTAAGCTATTTTTACAATATGGAATATTATTAACCCAGTTAAGATCCTTGGTTCCAAAATTGAGGTCTCCTAATATGATACAGTTAAAAGAAACAAAAGATTCAATCAGTTTAAGAAGTTTTTTAGTTTGAATGATACTAGTATTTGGAGGTCTATAGATGAGAATAAAATTAATACATTTTGAATTTTGTATTTGTAGATGTATTATTTCTGAGTTGAACTTAGAGATGGATTGTTTAACGAAAAACTTAATATGCTTTTTAATCAAAACAGCGCAGCCACCTCCCCTACGATTACTTCTATTACATAAAACTATATTAAATTTTTCAAGTATATCTAGGTTAAAAACATCTTGCGTTTCAGTTGTAAGCCAAGTTTCTGTTACAAACAAGATATCTAAATTACAAGCGCTTAAAATACAAGAAATTTCATCGATTTTATTTTTTAAAGATCGAATGTTTATAAGACATCCTTTTATTTTTTTGTTTAAAAATAAATTAGAGTTTTTTTCATGAGAAATAGTCGGCTTTAGAGTATATTTATTTATAGAAGAAGTGAGATGACTTCTTAGTTTTTTGGAAGAGTTTTTTTGAAATTGTCAATCTCACTTCTTAATATTATATTTGAGGCATAAATGACATAGTCAGCACCGGGGTGCTCACTACGCATTTTAAAGCATTTTTTAACAAGGTCTGAACGAGATTTAAGCTCGGAAGCGGTTAGAGACTCCCTAACCCGTATATTGAAATGTGTGTTTGTATTGATTTTATTATTAATAATATATTTTTGAAGGTTTGCCCCTCACGCGTTGTCCCCGGCTCAATTAACAATGTTCTATGGTGAGAACTGCCCTCATCTTTAAAATTAATCTTCAGGACCTAAAAATATTTTTACCTTTAGGATTAATATTATG